CCAGGACCTCGCGCCGCTGGTGGCGGCGGCGGTTGGGCGGCCGTGGACGGCGGCGCCCCTCGGCGCACCGTCGCCGCCGTGGCGCGCTCGGCGCTGTCGGCCGCAACTTTCGCCGCTGCCGCGCCGACGCTGCGCGCGCCCGCGGCGGTGGTGTTCACGAAAGCGCTGCTGGCGCTGCTGAGGGCCCCCCCTCGGCCGCGAAGGCGGCGCGTCGGCGGCGCCGACGCCCGCGCCTGGCAGAAGCGCGGCGGGCCGCGGGCGGCGGGCAATCGCTTGCGGAGGCGCGCGCGGCGGCCGCTGCTGCCGCGGCGCCTGGCGGCGGCGGGCCCCCCCCGGACGGCGACGCCATGGCCGTGGATTCCTCGCGGGGCGACGCCAAGGTGTCGGGCCTCAAGGACGGCCCCTGGGCTGACTCGGCCTGCCGCCCCTCGGCGCAGGGGCCGTCGACGCGCCCAGCCCGGGCGGCGGCGGCGGCGGCGGCGGCGGAGCCGGCAGCGGCGCCTTGGGCGCCGGTCGCGCCGCCTCGATGCCTGGACCCTCGCACGCGGCGGCGGCGCGGCCTTCGGCCCTCGACGAGCCGGCGGCCTCCCTCTCCTCTTTCGGCGCGTCCGCGGAGGAGCTCAAGGCGCGGACCGCCCTGCTGAAGCGAGCGGCGGCGATCGTCGGACGCTGACTCGCTCGTCTCGCTCCTGGAGCGCCTGTTCCTGGAGCTGGGCGGGGGCGGGGGCGGGTGCGGCACCCCCGTTGTGCATAGCCGCGCAGGCTGGGCCCGTCGCGCTGCTCGTCGCGGTCCCCATTTGCAGTTTTTCATCTGAGGCGCCTGCAGCGCCGCCAGCCAAAATGCTTGAAGTTCAGGGCTGTGGACGTTGAGGTCAAAACAAAAAAGGCATATGTATGGTTGATGCAGGACTACACGCGGCGGCATTGCTCCTGTTTCCCAGTGGGCCCTGGCGGCGCTGGACTGAGCGTTGTGCTTCTGCTTCGCGGTGGGGCCCTACGGATGGGAGCGAGCGCGATTCTCGGTCGGCCTGGGGAGCCGCGGTAGCGCTGCTTTTGTGGACGGCCGCGACAGTGCGCCCTCGGGCTGTCGGCCCGGCCGCGGCGGCGCATTTTTCGGCCAGGGGGCGACGGCAGCGCAATGTTCAGTCGCGCTCCAGTTTTTCTTTGGCGGTAGCAAACAGGGCGATGTGACCTTCAGGCGCGCCACGCGAGTGCTCGTCGGTTCTCGGCATAAACCCGCGCAGTGTTTCCGTGTGCTTCTGCACTTTACCCGTCAATTGCATGAATTCTTCCGACGCACAGAGCCAGCTTCAATGCGTCAGCCAGATACGGCCCAACTCTAGATTGATAATTGCATTGTTTGGGACCAGTGAGGCCGCGGCCCGTCCACGTGCTTTCGGACGGACGTTGCGTGATCCTGTCTCGTGGAAGCCACTTGATTACCTTCGGCGCACATTATGGCACTCTGCCGCTTGCCCGCGGTCACTCTCGACATGGGAATCTCGCGATGCTGCGCGCACACACACACGTGAACACACGCACACACACACACACGCACACACACACACACACACACATAGATGTATGTAGGCATATGTGTATATATATATACAAATTTTTATATATATATATATATGTATACATATACTTATGGCTGTGGCGATGATGTCGATAATGATGGCGGTGGCGGCGACGACGATGGCGAGCCAAAGGGTGGTTGCCGACGGCGCGACTCGGGATGGCTCGCTCGCGTGGCCGTGATCGCTTAAAGTAATGTGTTTCGTCATCGTTCTCTCTCTCTCTCTCTCACATTAGTTCTCTCCTGTCTCTCTCACTGTCTTTCTTTCGCTGCATATTTATCCCGGTGATGGGTTCCCGGAAGGGGGGGCTAGTGTATATAGATACTTATACATACATACAAATATGTTGTTTACCTACATACGTACACATAATTGCGTAAATCTATATATATATATATACATCCACATATACATGTATACATGTGTACAAAGATATGTTACCAGCTTCCACCATGGATCCGATTTACGGTTGGATCGTGAACAATTCCAAAGGCCCGGTGAATTCATGTGAGACGATGTATGATCGATCCATATTTTGGCTCAACATGATTCCAAATGTTCGGGGTTTGCATATCAGCACGATTGTTTGGCAATTGGCTCGGACGCAGCCAGCATTGCGGCCGCCTAACTGCGGCCACAGCAAGCCAGCGGGGGTGACACGGGGCACCTCATTGGCACTTGTTATGAAAACGCTAGCACATTACGAGCATGTGCCGGGGCTTTATTCGTGGAAGTTCGCTTGAGCATGTACAGGGGGGGGGGGGGGGCTTCGTGTAATATAGTCCCTACGTGGTTAGCGCCAGCATTGGTCTTCTTCGTGCAAGATCGTTTTGCTCAAGGGCCCCAGGCCCTGTGTACCTGATAGGGCGTGCATCTGCGGTTGCACCTTGTTTTCTTCCCAGGGTTTTTGACGTTGTCGGCGCCGGCTTTGGTTTATTTCGCGCAAGTGTCGTCGTCGTCGTCGAAGCCGTTTGTTCCAGCAAGCCGTGGCGCGCGTGGAGGCCGCACGAGGAGGTGGAACGGCCGTTCTCGCCTGCGGCGGCCAGAGCACGCTGCGCTTTCCCGAAGTGCGAGCGCGGCGCGAGGATTCCGTGCGTCTTCCCCCTTGTCTCCGATCCATTCTCCCTCTTCCGCCCGTGGGGGGCTCACTAAGGCATCTGGAGGCTTCCAGGACGCGTCTGGGGATATCTGGGGAGCCTGGAGGAATAAGAGAAGGAGGTGGTGGAGGAGGAGGAGGAGAAGGAGGAGGAGGAGGGGGAGGAGGAGGGGACGTAGGAGGAGGAGGAGGAGGAGGAGGAAGACGAGGAGGTGGAGGAGGAGGAGGAGGAGGAGGACCGACCGAAATCGGCCAAAGACCCTTTTCCGAACCCCTCCCGCGGTCCATCCTGCGCCAGCGGCAGTTCCACTGTCATCATCGGACCCTTTCCCGAACCCCTTTCGGCGCCCTGCGGCTATCAACGGGCAGGGGCGCAAAACTGTTCCTGTGGAAGGCGTTTCGGACTTCCATTTTTGAGCTCTCTTGGGCCGTATTGGGGCCCTCTTGGAGGCCTCTTGGGCTGTCTTGGGGCGGTCTTGGGAGCTTCTTGAGCCGTCTTGGAGCGTCGGAAAGCCGAAAACGAGAGAAGGCGAAAGTCCTTGAAACAATTTGTTTGTAAAATTGACGATTTGGGCCTCTTGTGGCTCTCTCGGGAGGCCTCTTGGAGCGGTCTTGGGGCCTCTCGGGGCCCTCTTGGGCCGTCTTGGAACCATCTTCGGGCGCCTTCGAGCACTCCTGGCCACGACAATGCGAACACGGCGTAAGTTGCGAGGATTAACGGCCTCGGGGACGCGAACATGGTGTAATTGACATGGGTTTATGGCCTCGGGGGCGCGAATCTCATCTATTCTTACGTGTCCCACGCCCCCTCGAGAATTCAGACAACGCGATCCAGGCGGGGTAGATGGATGGTTTGGGGCTCCCCCACTTCGCCCGGAGTTCAACACTTTACAATTGGAACCAGAATGCAGGATTGCAACATTGCCGACTTGAAACTGCAAATGGCGCAGGGAGCAGCGCACTTGGTCCTACAGCCTGGTGGTCCCACAACGGGACTGGCGGATTCGCTAGACGGATAGAAGGTAGTTCTTTGTCAAAACGGGGTTTTCGCTTAGATTATAGGCCCACTGCTGTTGGTCTTTCAAGAGGCACGTCTTGCAGTGAAAAGTTGGGAACTCATGAGGAGGGGATTCGGTACGAAAGGGTGCATTGCAGCACCGTGGACACATCTTGATTTTATGATGGTCCCTCCTTCTCCTTTTCCTCCTCCTCCTCCCTCCCTCCCTCTCTCCCTCCCTCCCTCCCCTCTCTTCCTCCTCTCTTCCTCCTCTTCCTCCTCCTACTCCTATCCTTATTCCTTATTCGAATATACTCCTACTCCCCCCTCAGGCCGGCAGATAGGGGCCGCATCCGGGTGGTCCCATCCTAACCTGTAAAAAACAATACAAAAGCAACATTTTTCTTATTTTTTCCTCTCGACATGGACGTCCTGTCGTCCACGGCGATAATCCATTGCAAAAAATACCACAAAGAGCACACGCGCGCGTTCATGTCAGAATCCTACCGAACACCGTGTGTTTGCAAGCATTTCAACATAAAAACATCAAAAACCCAATGCTTTTTCACAAAAATTGTACAAATTTCCCGCCCGGGCTCTCTTGCTGAAATCATAGGAAAACCATAGGAATCTTAAGAATTCGGTCAAATCCAGCGATTTCACGTCATCGCGCGGTGCACTCGCGATGCTCTGTCATGCACCCAGGCCGCGAATCCTGTGCAAAAAATACCACAAAGAGCACACTCGCGCGTTCATGTCAGAATCCTACCGAACACCGTGTGTTTGCAAGCATTTCAACATAAAAACATCAAAAACCCAATGCTTTTTCACAAAAATGCTTTGGGGTGTCCTGTCAGACCGTCGGGCTTCCTCCGGCCACCTCTGGCTTCCTGCGGTGTACCGGGCCATTCTCGACTCGTCTGGCAATGCGTGCGCGGCATTCAACACGCGCTCGCCAGTTCCCGTCGGCAACCGCCATCGCGGCCGCATCAGCTGTACCAAACCGGCTGGCCGGTGTGACTTCGGCCCCCAGTTGTGCCAGCTTTGCTTCTTATGTTGTGGGAGGGCGGGTGGGACTGGGCATGCCATGCTTGACTCGCTCGAGCTGGCTAGCTTGACTCCTACTCCTACTCCTGCTCCTTCTCTTCCTCTGGCTCCTTCTCCTCTTCCTCCTCCTCCTCCTCCTCCTCCTCCTCCTCCTCCTGCTCCTCCTCCGCCTCCTCCTCTTCATCCTCCTCTTCCTCACCCCCCTCCACCTTCCGTCCCTCCTCGTTCCCTCCCTCCCCCTCCCTCCCCTCCTGCCCCGCCCGCCCTGCCCCCCGCGGAGGACCACGTGAGGGCCTTCCGGGAGCGCCCGCGCGCCGCCAGCACCTGCCGGGGCTATAGGAGCGCCGCGGCGGGCGACGGCGGCAAGAACGACGGCGACAGACGGCAGACGGCAGACCCAGATCTCCGACGATGCGATGTTTCGATACGGCGTTGTTTTTCGATTCGGGCCTCTGGGGCCCAAGTGTCGGGCCCCCGGGCCATCGGATGTGGATCCGGGACGGAGGCAGCAGCGGTTGCAGGTGAGGGATGCGAGAGTTGACGGCACGGGCAGCTGCCAGATCTCCTGGCGGTTCGCTTCCTGCCTTCCCAATCCGCCTTCCCGCCCTTGTCCTCCTCCTCCTCCTCCTCCTCCTCCTCCTCCTCCTCCTCCTCCTCCTCCTCCTCCTCCTCGCCGTCCTCTCCGTCAGATTCATCAATACACTCCTCCGCCTCCCGTGGCCTTCGTTTCCCGCAGTCATCTTTTAGCTCAAGGCTAGAGCAGTGTTCTTGCCACACGGCTGCCATCTAGTGGCCTTCGGCACATACCGCCACCGTGCTTGGGTTGAGGGTCAGGGTCCTAACGGATGCTTCTTGGGGTCTCTTCGGAGGGCTTTCGGTGGCCTTTGGGGGACAGTTTTGAGGCCTCTCGGGATCCTGTTGAGGGTCTCTTTGGTGCCTCCTGGGGCTTCCTGGGGCCTCTTGGGGGCCTCTTGGGGCCTCTTCGGGCTTTCTTGGGGGCCTCTGCGGGCGCCCTGGGGGCGCTGCTATTTGTGAGCCCGCAGGAGCCTGCACCAGCAGTGTGTCTCCCAGCCATGTGCTGGCCTCTGTCGCGTCACCGTCATCATCATTCTGGACCGCTGCGCCGTAAGGACAAGCTCATTGATTTGAGTGGTCTGGGTTCGGCACCGCTTGCGTAGGCCACCCACGCTTTCGGTTGCCGATTAAAGGAGCTGAGTTTTCAGGTAGGAGCTCGTTCCGCTAATGCTTTACATGGTGCGGGATACGCGGACGCTGCTGTTGCAAACCGACCTCGGAGCGGGCTGGCATTCACTTCAGGAATCCCTCGACACTGCTCATATAAGGGCATGGCGACAGAGGCTGCAGGACACGGTCGCTTCTCTGCCAGCGTGGCCCACGAATACCATCACGTGGTTGTTGCTCGTGGTTGGCAAACATTTATGAGCAACTCGTTCGTCAGACATGGATTCCAAGATCTAAGTCACGATGAAGATCAGTCTGCTGCGCGCAGGCGCGCACCCCCGAGCTCCAAGCAGACTGCCCAGCAGGAGCTGCTACGACGGCCCTGCCACAAGCTTCAAGCGCCTTCTGCTCGGCAAGGGGGCGGACAGCGTCCTCCCTGTCCTCCCTCCGTGGCCGCGCCTCCCCCCCTCCCCCCCCCACGCGAGCCACCTGCACAGGCGCAATCAGTCAGCAGCCACAGCGCGGCCCGCCGTGGCCCTGACCGCCCCGAGCCCCTTCGGCGCTGCGCCAAAGACCAGCAGAAGGCGCGCAGCGCGCAGCGCCGCTCCGGGTCTCGCGGCCGTTGTGACCGCGGCAGCGGAGGGATCACGGACAAGGAAGGGCAAGCGTGACACAGAGCGAGAAGCCCCCGCGCGCGCACCGGCAGCATTGCGGCCGCCGGGCCAGCATCCTCAGCAGGCAGCGAGGGCGGGAGTCGACCCACACCACCCGCAGAGGCTACCTCGGCAGGCCAGGATGCTCGGAGACGCCGCCGACGCGGGATAGCGAGCACGGGACGGGCGCCGACCACGTCGCACCACAGAGGCCACATCGACAGGCCGTGACGTCCCGAAACGCCGTCGACGTGTGAGGCGAGGTGCAGTCCGGCGCAAGCCCGGCATCAAGGCGGGGGAGGCAGAGGGCGCAAGCGCGCTTGGGGTGCGGAACACGCCAGTGGACGCGACATTGGGCGCGTTCTGTGGAGCTCCTGAACCGCGACTATGCTCCGGTGCTGCGCGAGTCCTTCCCGCGCACCCTCGCCTTGCCCATCTCGCCCTCGTCGGCGCGGACTTGTCCTGACGGGGCATCGCTCGCGTGCCCTGGCCTGGTTCAGCGGGTGGTTGCGCACCAGGGGCTCGCAAAGTCACCGACTGACGCGCCCTGTTAATGTGTGTCTCTCTCTCTCTCTTTCTCTCTGTCTCTCTCTCTCTCTCTATCTCTCTCGTTGTCCCATTATCTCTGTTTCGTTTCTCTCTCTCTCTCTCTCTCTTTATGTTGTCCCTCTCTCCGTCTCTCTCTCTCTCTCTCTCTCTCTCTCTCTCTACTTATAGACACATAGTTATATGTGCATGTATATATATATATACATATATCTCTATATATATATATATATATATATATGTACATATATGTAAATCGAAGACGCCTACGGCGAATCACCGCCGCCCCCTGCCTTTTTGGAAGCGCCTATCTGGCCGAGCGTTGAGGCCAGACCTGCCAAGCTATCGGACCATGTGCTTCCCGAGTCGGTTTGGAAAGCCTTCGGGGAACACGTGAGCATCTTGAAGGTCATGGAGGCCATTTTGACCCGTTCGGGCCTTCTTGGAGGATGTCTTGGAGGGCGTGAGGGCCGTCTTGGAGGCCATCTTGAGCGTCTTGGAGGCCTCTTGGGCAGTCTTGGGGGCCTCTTGGGGCCGTCTTGGGCCTCTTGGGCGATCTTTCGTGGCTCTTGGGCCGTCTCGGGCCGTCGGAAGGCCGAAAAAAAGCAGATGCCACAACCCTTCAAAAACTGATGGGAAATCAATGATTTGAGCCTTTTCGGGCCGTCCTGGAGGCCCTCTTGGAGGTCTCCTGGGCCGTCTTAAGGCCATCTTTGGCCGTCTTGGTGGGCTCCTGGCCCGTCTGACGCCGTCGGAAGCCATTTGGGGGCCTCTCTGAACCAGCATGGGGCCCCCTTGGAATGCTCCAGGGCCGTCTTGGAGGCCATCTTGGGCGTCTTAAAGGCCTCCTGGGCCATCTTGGGGGCCTCTTGGGGCCGTCTCGGGGGCCTCTTGGCCCGTTCTGGGGCCATCTTGGAGGCCTCTTGGGCGAGCTTTGGGCGGTCTTTGGGGGCTCTTGGGCCGTCTCGGGCTGTCGAAAGGCCGAAAAGAAGCAAATGTCAACATCCTTCAAAAACCTTGGGAGAATCAGTGTTGTTTTACCTTTTTCTGGCCTTCCTGGACGCCCTCTTGGAGGCCTCTTGGGCCGTCTTGGGCCAACTTCGAGCCAACTTCGGCCATCTTGGTGGGCTCCTGGCCCGTCTGACGCCGTCGGAAGCCGTCTTGGGGGCCTCTCTAAACCAGCTTGGGGCCCTCTTGGAATGCGCCGTCTTGGGGGCCTCTTGGGGCCGTCTCGGGGGCCTCTTGGCCCGTTCTGGGGCCATCTTGGAGGCATCTTGGGCGATCTTTGGACGATCTTTGGGGGCTCTTGGGCCGTCTCGGGCCGTCGGAAGGCCGAAAAGAAGCAAATGTCAACATCCTTCAAAAACCTTGGGAGAATCATTGTTTTACCTTTTTCTGGCCTTCCCGGACGCCCTCTTGGAGGCCTCTTGGGCCGTCTTGGGCCAGCTTCGAGCCAACTTCGGCCATCTTGGTGGGTTCCTGGCCCGTCTGACGCCGTCGGGAGCCGTCTTTCTGGGCCTCTCTGAACCGGCTTGGGGCCCTCTTGGGGCGCTTCGGGACCGTCTTGGAGGCCATCTTGGGCCGTCATGGGGCCATTTTGGAGACCTGGTGGGTGCTCTGGGGGCGATATTGGGGGCCTCTTGGGCCGACTTGGACAGCGGGAAGGCTTCAAAGAAGCATATGTCAAAATCAGTTTAAAAAGCCATAGAAAATCAATGAGTTTGGCCTCTTCGGGCTCTCCTGGGGGACCTCTTGGGCCATCTTAAGGCCATCTTGGAGCCATCTTGGCCCGATTTGAGGCTTCTTGGACGATTTAGAAGGCATCTTGGACCCTCTTGGGACGTCTTGGAGGCCATCTTGGACCACCTTGGGCGAACTTCGAGGCCATCCTGTGCCATCTTGGCCGTCTTGGAGGCCATCTTGGGCCAACTTGGGGCAACAAAGGCATCGACGGATGCGTTTTGAGATCCTTCTCGGGACTCCGGCTGGACGGGCCGAAGCCCCAGGTAGAGTTCTTGTGGAAAAAGAACCAAGACCGAAATCGTCTAGCACGCCAGGCACCCCTGCGGTGAATCGACAGAGGGCGGCGGATGTTGAATAGCTTTCGGCCCATCTCGCCACCGCGCCTGTGTTGTAGGTCATAAGCCTCTAGGCTGTTCGCTGGGATGTCACAGGGGGGACTCTTGAGGGCCGTCTGGAGGCCTCTGAAGCCGTTTGGGGCGTCTTGAGGGCCTCTTAGGGGGTCTCTTCGGGCCTTTGGGGGGCCTCTTGGGGCCTCCTTGGGGCCTCGGAGCCTCTTGGGGCGGAAGACTCGGTTTTGCCGTTCGTGTTCCCCCTCGTGGGCCCTTCTTGGGGCTGTCTTTGGGCCCTCTTGGCCTGTCCTGGGCGCCTCAGACTGCGCCGTCTGGGGGCCCTCTTGGGAGCCTCTGGGGCCGTCTTGGGGACCTCTTGGGCCGTCATGGAAACTTGGAAGCTCGAAGTGTCGAGGGTTCAAGGAACATTGACAAGCCTGCGGAAAAAACAGTGATGCTGGCCTCTCGGAGCCCTCTTGGGACGTCTCTTGGAGGCCTCTTAGGACGTCTTGGGTACTTTTTCGGCCGACTGCAGACCATCTTGGGCGTCTTGGGGCGACCATGCGGCGATTCGGGGCCCTCTGTGCTGGGAAGTTTGTAGTTTTACATATATATGTGATTATAGAGAATATAATCAGACTGTCCTGGAGGATCCAGGAAATCCTGCAGCCCTTTGTTGCTCGAGGAAAAGAGCGACCCTCACCTCCCCCCTTTCTCCGTGAGGGGGGTGGGTGCACGTGCATGGTAGCGGAGCTCGCTTGAGGTTCGCGGGCCGCTCCGCACCCAGGCGAGCTCCAAGAGCCCCTCGAGAGGGCCCAGCGGCGCGACGCCGCGGGTCCGGCAGCCAGCGGGACGATCCACGCGGCCGCCGAGCAGAGGACCCCTT